GTCTTGCAACTAATAAGCCAAAAATTGATAAAGCATAGGAATAGTTACATTTAATCCAATAATAATTTTTATAATAATAGTAATGTAGGTTGAGCATCCATTATCTAAAACTCTTGGAGTGAGAAATGGTTTGTATTTCAGATTTTTTTTTCAGAGTTTGGAATGTTTCTATTTACATAATGAAATGTTTTAAGCAGGGCATGGTGGCACAAGTCTTTAATCCCAGCACTCAGGAAGCAGAGGCAAGCAGATCTCTGAGAGAGCAAAGCCAGCCTGGTCTACATAGTGAGTTCCAAGCCAAGGGGAACTACAAAGAGACCCTGTCTTAAAAAAAGAAAAGGAAAAAAAATGAAATGTTTGGAGGATAGAATCCTCTAAACACAGCGTTCATTTTTTTTAAACATTTGATTTAGTATTTTTATGTGTATGAGTGCATTGCCTGCATGTGTGTAAGTGCACCCGTGTTGTGCACAACCTGAAGGTACAATACATTTTGGGTTCCTTTGGGGGTAAGATGAGCACTAGGGGTAGAACTTAGAGCCTCACGCATGCTAGGCAAGCACTCCACCACTAAGCTATAACCTCAGCCCTGCAAAGTTTTCCACTTGTGGTTTCAAGTCAGTACTTAAAAATTCTTATATTTTAGAGCATTTCAAGTCTTAGGTTTCAAAATTAGGAATGCTCAATCTGTATCAAGAGTGGGGGGGGGAAGATGTTTGCATGTGACTTATCTTACTGTAAGGACAAATTAAACGGTGAACTCAACTTTAAGCAGCAATTATGATTTTGCTCTTTCCTTTCAAAACTCACTCAAGTGAAAGCTCATATTAAAGAAGATAAAAGGAAAAGTGTTGGAACGGGTGTTAAGCAGGGTGGGTTTTATGCACAGCCAGAGCTTAATAAGTTTTTTCACTGAACTACAAAGGACAAAGATCAGAGTAGTGAAAGCAGTGAGGACATAAACAGTCTCCAGCTCCTGCCGTGGAGCTGAGTAATCATGAGACATCAGGGGAGAAGCTAGGCAAAAATCCACCTGACATAAGAGTCCAAGTACCTGACATCTAAGGAAATTGTTCCAAAGGGAAGCTACCAGAACAAAACTGTGACATGAAATGATGAACACACGTAAAAAGAAATAGAGCCAAGATACAAAATGCCCCTTTAAGTCTGATGTGAGAGTTAAAATTTAACAGGCACTGCCAAAGTAGTAGAGGATGTATAACTACTAATACATCACTGAGGGAAAAACCTAAGATAGAGTCGAGTCCAAAAGTAAGGAAAATGTCACCTTTTGATGAGGGGGCAGATGGCAGGGAGTGGCATATAAAAAAAAAAAGCAAATAGAAAGCAGAAAACTTTAGAAAAATGGTCATGTCAGTTATCATATGACTTAAATACTTTTAAAGATCATAATTAGGAGACTGGTAGAGTGATTGCCTAGCATGCATGAAGCTGTGGGTTCAACCCCCAGTACCATGTACCAGCATGGAAACACATTTAGACATCCAGCACCAGGATGGCAAAGCAGGAAAATCAAAATTCCAAATCTTCCTCAGCTGTATAGTGAGTTCAAGGCCAACCTGGGATACATGAGGCACTGGCTCCAAAAAGTAATGTTAGGTGAAACCATCAGCTTCACAAAGGTAAGTACTGAATGTTTTCTCTCATATGTGGAATATAGGGGGGTGGAGTACATAAAAATAAATGAGGAGCTGCCAAAGATATAAAGGGGTATGGGGCTGGAGAGATGGCTCAGTGGTTAAGAGCACTGACTGCTCTTGCAGAGGACCCGGGTTCGATTCCCAGAACCCATATAGCAGCTACAAACCGTCCTTAGCTCCAGTTCCAGGGGAATCCAAAGCCCTCTTCTGACCTCCGCAGCATTGCACGGCACAGGTGCACTCACATACATGCAGGCAATACACTCATACACATAAAATAAAAATAATATAATAAAAATATTTTAAAACCAGGCTGTGGCCTCCATTTTCTACATATATATACATATATATAGGGGAAAAAAGAACCTGCGAATGGATAACAGGAAGTCAATATGCTCAAAGTTCATGGTGTGCATATGTGAGAATGTCACAGTGAAATTAAGATATGCTAAAAAGAGAAACAAAGATAATCAGATCACATTGAAAGGAATAAATTCTTCGACTGAAAAGTTCTTAGAGGAGACACATTCAAAATTCAAGATCATGAAAGCACTGATGTTAAAGGAGAGAAAACAGAAGAACAGTACCTAAAGCCTGCACTCCCATCAGACAAGACTTCAAAACAACCCATCGTTAGGGAGACAAAGCCTCACAGCTGAGGATAAGCCTTTCAATCTACCAGGAAGACAAAGAGCTCAGTATGATAGCACCCTGCAGTGAAGACTCAAAATACAGTCAGAGAAAAACTACAGCACTGTGAAATTAAGAGAGACAGCACACAATGGCTGATTTCTAGGGCACTCTCCCGAGTGACAGAAAAAGTCAAGATAAAATGTGAAGATATTAAACTTTTACATAATACACATATATTCAGCTTGTTTTATCCACAAGTTTCACATTCAACAATGTAACCAAACTTGGATCAAAATATTTGAAACAACCTATACAGATCTTTTTTGTTATTTTTTCACTATTTCTTAAACAATAGATTGTAACAAATGTTTACACAGCATTTACATTAGATTAGGTAGCTCAAGTAACCTAGAAATGACTTGTAGAATAAAAGAGATATTGAGAGGTTCTGTATAAATATGACACTAGTTTATGCGAGGTCTTTCAGCATCTGCAGGCTTTTTATCACACCACAGGGGTCTTTTATGACTATGTTAGGCTCTAGCACCAACGTAAACCAGACACTGACTGAATCCATGACTGGAGA